ACTGCTTAGAACAGCTTCATTAAAACGATTTTCGAGCAGGGCAGTTAAAAAACAGCAAAACAATTCAACAGAAACTATGTATAAAACATCCTATATTTTTGACAACCTTGATCCTCTAAGGATTCCTATATTTTTAAACAAGTGCAATCGGAGGCCAGAACGAACAGATTTGCTATAAAAAAAAAAACTTCTTTTGAGTTACTGTAATTACAGTTTTTTCTTGAAATTGAACGAAACGTAATTGAAGTACATGCTTAGAATGAAATGCAAGTGACTTTTTCATAATAATAATTTAGCTTGCGAGAGTAGTTACACTAGAAGAGAATATGACTTTTATCTGTTCTATAGACAAATTCAAGTGTGTCATTCTTAGCGGCATCTCTAAAATAAAATCACGAGAAAACACACCGTTTATGTAAGAACGATTTTCTCTTGTTTACTTACAGTGAAATCATTGCTCACGAGGTTTTGATGTTTTTCATTCTTAGACGAATGAAAACAGAAGCTGTACGAAGCACAATAACCGTGAAAAATTGCTTTTCGCAGGAACTATAAATCACTTTTCGGTAGTCTCGTAAGACATAGTACACAACAAAAGTAAATGTTCTGTTAAACGATCGGCATTTTGTTTTAAATCTTACTAGTCCTTAAACTAGGTTCAAGGCCAACAGCATACTCTCCTTCAACAAAGTGCACTCGATAAATTATTCAAATCTGACTCGTGTCAATCACGCTGTTCAGAACACTTTCTACATCGAAATTACGTAGCCTTTTAGATACATTAGTAAATGTCTACGAGTTAATCTTTACGTTATGTATGCAGATGTTATTGATATGCTCACATGAATTAAGTCACTCGAATACTAGTATTTAAATTAAAAAACCAACAATTCGCTTTTAATCCACATTATATTTCATGGCCTTGATGAATCACAGTTTTATGGTAAGGATACCACTATCAGCGATGTATACGAGATTCTATAAAACACATATATATATGTGGCAGTAGAGTTTAGAATCTAGTTGAGATTGGAATTGTTCATTATTCTATAAATGTTATGAGAGAGTGATTCATAGAAATAAAATTTTATTAGTGAGTGATATGATATAGTTTGATTGATTATGTAGATTTAAAAAACACGTTTTTGTTTCCAAGATTGATTGTGTCAATCTTTCATGATTGAAGAGAGAGAAATGAGAAAGATTCTGAAAAGATGTTTATTTTAATACGCGGGACATTGGGACATAGGGACATTGATTTTTCTCTTTCGTTCTGTATTCGAAGAAAAGAAAGAAAGAGA